CTCACTCTCATTCTGTCTTCTTGCCTCCCAAATAAATGATGTTAACATTATTGGCATCATTATCTCATGAGGTTGCCTGTACTCCCTCCTTAGTATGTACTTTCCCTTTGTCTCTAATTAGACCTTGCTTTCCTGCTCACCTTATAAAAAATTAATTACCATAAATGTATCAAAAATGACTTCAATGTTATATCCACATTTAAATGTTTAAAATTGTGTAATATTGCATAACTGTAGCATCTGTAATTGTATTTCCTTATTTTCCAAGTATTAATACCTGCCCTTTCATTTCTAAGTGAAAATAAAACCTGTGATTTATTTTTTTAGTCAGCAATTCCTTGATGCTATTATCTTTTTTTTTTTTTTTTGGACAGGCAGAGTGGACAGTGAGAGAGAGAGAGACAGAGAGAAAGGTCTTCCTTTGCCGTTGGTTCACCCTCCAATGGCTGCAGTGGCCAGCGCGCTGCAGCCGGCACACTGCGCTGATCCGATGGCAGGAGCCAGGTACTTATCCTGGTTTCCCATGGGGTACAGGGCCCAAGGACTTGGGCCATCCTCCACTGCACTCCCGGGCCACAGCAGAGAGCTGGCCTGGAAGAGGGGTAACCGGGACAGAATCCGGCGCCCTGACCGGGACTAGAACCCGGTGTGCCGGCGCCGCAAGGTAGAGGATTAGCCTAGTGAGCCGTGGCGCCAGCTCTGATGCTATATCTTACTGTGCAACAAAACTCAGTGTTAGCCTGTTAGGTATAAACTATTACTTTAATCCTGAAAGTAATGATGATAAAAATGTCAAATGCCATTATGCATGGAATTATAGTAAAATAGCTTTTGATTTTTAAGGACCTGCTGTATTCTTAAATAATCAGTGTTTATGATCTCCATTTTTTATATATTTTAAAGATTTATTTTATTTATTTGGAAGAGTTACAGAGAGAGGTACAGACAGAGAGAGAGGTCTTCCATCCTCTGGTTCACTCCCCAGATGGCCGCAATGGCCGGAGCTGTGCCGATCTGAAGCCAGGAGCCAGGAGCTTCTTCCGGGTCTCCCACATGAGTGCAGGGGCCCAAGCACTTGGGCCATCTTCCACTGCTTTCCCAGGCCATAGCAGAGAGCTGGATCGGAAGAGGAGCAGCCAGATCTTGAACCGCGCCCATATGTTAATGCCAGTGCTTCAGGCCGGGGCTTTAACCCACTGCACCACAGTGTCAGCCCCTCCATTTTATATTAAATTAACCTCCTTTTATAGTACCTGTGCAATAATTGTGGAATTTACTTTATATTTGAGTACAATTTAGTAAAAGCCAGTGACTTACAAAATTATGCCTTTGATTGAAAGATACTAAACTGTATCCTTTTTTTATTAAAATATTTACTTTTCCCCATATCTGATTTATTAGTAATAATAGATCCCTGCCTCAGAGTCTGAAAATTTTATTAATGAATGACTTATATAGGCTAGCCATCAGATTGTGTTTTCCTCTCCAAAAACAGAGCCATTTCCTTTTGCCACAGAATGGTCATCATTGTTTCTCCCGTTGGGTTTAAGATCGCAGGAATCCATGTATGGTAGAAACCATTTGTTCCTTCGTGATATCTGACTCTAATAAACACAGTGTGCAGCTGGGTTAACAATTCTGGCCCTGCTACTAGACACATCAGCACATATTTATCTGCCCAAAAAGAAGAAAATAAAATTATAAGAACCATACTTTTTCTCTTAAAATGACTTGTTTTTCCCATCTTTGTTTTTCTTCTAATGTTCTGAGCTGAATTTTTTTCTGTAGGTAGTGTGTTGTAGATAACTTTGTGCTGTAAATAAAATTGAGAAGGAGAAGCAGAGCCTCCTAGCTTTGAGAAAGATTGAATGTCAGTGCTGTGAAGTGCTACCTCAAGTACTTCTTAATTATATTGGAAGAACTGGACAGTAGGAATTTTGTAATTTGGTAATGAGCATTGACTGTACAGACTCTCAGTGATTGCAGTTTGAAAATCTCAGACATGAATCAGAATTTAGGAAGATGAATCAGAGTAATTAAAAATGTTTAAGGTTGTATTTATTTGAAAGGCAGAGCAAGAGAGAGAGAGAGAGAGAAACACTGGATCCTCTATCCATTGGTTTACTCCCAAGTTGCCTTCAACAGCTGGGGTTGGGCCAGGTAAAAGCCAGGAGCCAGGAACTCCATCTGGATCTTCCACAGGGGTGGCAGGGACTCAAGCACCTGAGCCATCATCTGCTGTCTCCTAGGGTAGGCAATAGTAGAAAACTGGATGTGAAGTAGAGATGGGACTCAAACCCAGGCACTCTGATATGGGATGTAGGTGTCCCAAGCAGTAGCTTAAATATAGTACTACTATGCTGCCCAGATTAATTAAAATATTAACAGTCTCTGTTTGATTAGAATTAACGCTACTAGAGAAAGTAGGCCTCAGTGTGTGATCCCTGTATATTTCGCAACTAGTTCCAAAAGTTTGGAACGATTTACCGATACTTAGAAAAAAACTGATATCTTTGTTTTTTTTTTTTTATATTAAAGTGAATGGCTATGTGCCTTTGAAGACTATACATCCCTTGAAAGTGTGTTGAATAGTTGTGAAATTTGTGTCATGTTACTTAAAGCCCATCAGATACCTACATTTTCATAATTATTTTGACTTACTCATTTTCACAAAGAGAGAATTTGGGAACTATACAGTTTCTCGCCAAAAGTGCCTTGAAATGGAACTCTTTTTTTTTTTTTTACTTTTATTTAATGAATATAAATTTCCAAAGTACAGCTTATGGATTACAATGGCTTCCCCCCACCCCCATAACTTCCCTCCCACCCGCAACCCTCCCCTTTCCCTCTCCCTCTCCCCTTCCATTCACATGAAGATTCATTTTCAATTATCTTTATATACAGAAGATCAGTTTAGCATATATTAAGTAAAGATTTCAACAGTTTGCACCCACATAGAAACACAAAGTGAAAAATACTGTTTGAGTACTAGTTATAGCATTAAATCACAATGTATAGCACATTAAGGACAGAGATCCTACATGAGGAGTTAAGTGCACAGTGACTCCTGTTGTTGACTTAACAAATTGACACTCTTGTTTATGGCATCAGTAATCACCCTAGGCTCTTGTCATGAGTTGCCAAAGCTATGGAAGCCTTTTGAGTTCACCGACTCTGATCATATGAAATGAAACTCTTAATACCACTAAGCCTCCTTGCTCCTCCTTCCTTTCCTTCCTTCCTTCTTTTCTTCCTTCCTTTCTTGCTTTCTTCCTTCCTTTTATGGCAGGAGGGCATACTGTTTAGATAGTATTTACTCTCAGTTGTAAGGCTATTGCTGTGATGGGCTTCTAAAGTGTGATATCCATTTAATTCATTGGTATGAAAGCAACAAGGACTTATTTTCTCCTTTTTGTGGGAGATGGCATTCCAACTGTTTTTGATATCTTTAATTTTAGAGGTTGACAGTGATCAGATCAGAGTCAAGACTGATTTAAAATAGTTTGCTAAGAAGCAGAAAGAAAAATGAGATCCTAACTTTCCAAGTCCCCTGACCTAAACATCTCCATTGTTGAGTTAAAGCTATATGGGTGTGAAATTTGGTATGGAGGCTTAGGCTGCTTGAGCACCTTTTATCCCATAATAGTTGTGGAATGTGGAGATTTGAATTTTCATGGGGGCACTGATGTTTCATGGCTGACGATGGATTTCTTAAGGCCTTGTCATTTCAAATTGTCATAAGGTCTGGTTATTGCTGATCTAACTGTGTATATGAACCTGCCTCCCAGTGAACTTACTGCATGGTGCTAACTTGTCTTGACATTCTTGCTGACAGTCCTAGTGCCCCTTAACTTCTACTGTCACAGCACAGGTTTTATAGGTAATTCAGCCTAAATTTCAGAGATGAATTTCTATAGACAGAAAATATATTGTCTTTAAAAATTAAGAGGTTTGATTCTGTTTTGAATTTGGTTATCAAATGAATCTGAGAACATGACATTTTAATGCTGCTTGTCTTTTCAAATAGATTTACCTTCTAATGCATGTGACGACAGAACTTTGCTCATCAGCTAGAACATACATTTCAGAGGAGTTGTTACCTAAAATATTATCATAAGGCATAAGAAAACACACGATTTAAGTTGCCTTTCATGAACATAATTAAGAATTAATAAGCCAGTACCAGTGGCTAGTCCCCAGAATTTCCACTGTTTTGCCTTTTGTGACCTGTGTTATTAAAAGTCCATTATTTTTACAGACTTTATTAAATTGGATCTTATTAAAGCATTCTATATTTGCATTTGGTCTTTCATAATTCATTATTATTATGACATTTACTTTTTACCATCAGATCTGAAAACATATCATAAGCTACCCTTTTCTCTTGAAAGAAATGCTAATTTCAAACAGTCCTCTAATAGAAGAGAAAAGCTTTATCAGTTTTTTCATTTATTCCAGATCGTGTTAAGAATACTAATGCTAGACTCTGGTATGCTAATATCTCTGTGCTTTTTTTGGTTAAAAGCTTAGAATTATTATTTTTATCCCATACTAAGTATGAAACTAGAAGACCTCTACTACTGGAGAAAACAGTTCTGAAGTGCAGTTCTTCATTTGGAGACTTGAGAAAAGATTTCTAAATTCGATTTCTTGGGATAAGTCTTATCAAATTATCTTTGTACCACACTATCCTATTGGTCCTATTTAAGAAATTCTCTCATCTCAGAATTCATGTTTTGTTCTTATAATTTAGGATAGTTCAGCTTGCATGGTTCAGACTAAGAATCCTATGCTGTCAGCCCCAGACATCATTTAAATTGTCTTCTGCTTTTCAATATGTTAATCATTTCTATATCATTTAAGATTTAGTTGAGAACTCAATATATCAAGATTGTATAAATTAATATCGGTAAGCTGTCTAATTTTTACGTAACTAGTAAATCAGTTTCTTGTTGGTTTTTTTAGAGTGAAATAAAATTTTGAATTGTTTCCTGTTTTAGATTTCTGACGATGTGTAACAGACATTTTGGTAGTGTTGTTGCACAAACCATTCGGACCCAGAAAACAGACCAGTTTCCACTTTTCCTAATTATTATGGGAAAGCGGTCATCTAACGAAGTGTTAAATGTGATCCAAGGTAAGGTACATGTCACAAGAGAAGTAGAATCTTGAGTATTATTGTAACCTTATGATTTTTAACATCAAAGCTGACAGTATGTCTTTGTATTGGTAAATATCTTTGTGTTTTAAAAGATAAAACCTCTTGAATAAGAATGTCTTCCAAAAGTGCCATAGAAAATAAGATATGCTGCATAAAAATTCAAGAGAACCATATTAATATAATTGTACAGTCCCTATGACATGAAATTTTCAACTCAAATGTTCAGAATTGGAAAATTCTCCAAACTAGCAACTAGGTCATAATCAGTTACCAAATATAATGTTTCTTATTTATATTGATTTATGATAGTAGTGTGTATTAATTGAAAGAAATGCTTCTCTTTAGTTATTTGGAAAACCCAGTAACCATAGCTGGAAATGGAATTGTCCACAGTGGCAATTGTTTCTCCTTATTTGTGTGATTCCATGTTTAGGATACAACCCTGAGGCATGAAGCTATCAGCTGCCTGTGAATTTAACAATAGTATCCTTTCTTGACCAAAAAAAAAAATGAATACAGTTTTTATTTTTTGCTGTTACTAACGCACTCTGGGAAATGGTATAAAATTACCTTGTTTGTGGCAATACATAAAGTGAAAACAGTGTAACTTTATGCTATCAAGAAAAAGATTTCTTATGTTTGGGATACTGTCCTCATTTAAGTCTAATACAGAAAGGGTAATCTAAATTCCAGTGCTTTTAAAACCCAAACAAAACAGACTTGTGGTACTTTATGTTTCTCAGTAACTAAAGCGTTCAGTTCATAAGCAGTGTTAGAAAAGACCTGCTGATGCCAGCATTGTGGTGTAGTGTTTAAAGCTGCCACATGTGATACCAGCATCCCACATGGGCTCTGATATGAGTCCTGGCTGCTCCGCTTCCAATCCAGCTCCCTGCAAAAGTCCTGGGAAAACAGTGGAAGATGGCCTAATTACCTGGGCCCCTGATTCCCATGTGAAAGACCCAGAAGAAACTTCTGGCCTCGACCTGGCCCAGAACTGGCCATTGTAGCCATTTGAGGAGTGAACCAGTGGATGGAAGATCTGTCACCCTCTCTCTTTCTTCCTCTCTCTCTATAACTCTGACTTTCAAAATAAATCTTTAAAAAAAAAAAAAAAGACTTGCTGATGTAATTGATTCGCATGGGATAAATGGATAAGGAAGATAGCATAGCGTTTTATTCCTGCTTTCACTGTCAGACACAGTATTACAATAGCTAGGGATTCTCAAAGTGTGGTTTATAGACTCCAAAGATAGCCTAAACCTTTCAGGGATCTCCAAGGTCAAAATTATTCTCCAAATATAATACTGTTTTTAGAAATCTTTATTGCTGGGGCCGGTGCTGTAGCACAATGGGTTAAAGCCCTGGCCTGAAGCGCTGGCATCCCATATGGGCACCAGTTCTAGTCCCGGCTGCTCCTCTTCTGCTCCAGCTCTCTGCTGTGGCCTGGGATAGCAGTGGAGGATGGCCCAAGTGCATGGGCCCCTGCACCCATGGGAGACCAGGAGGAATCTCCTGGCTCCTGGCTTCAGATCGGCACAGCTCCGGCCGTTGCGGCCATTTGGGTAGTGAATCAGCGAATGGAAGACCTCTCTCTCTGTCTCTACCTCTCTCTGTAACTCTGTCTTTCAAATAAATAAAATAAATCTTAAAAAGAAAAAAGAAATCTTTATTGCCTTGACATTTACACTAGTCACTTAAAAGCAGTGATTCATAAAACTTTTGATACGTTAGCACAAATCAGACCATGGCACAAAATTATACTAATATCATATTTTTCACTGCCACATACATGCAGGTAAAAAGGGGAAGAAGAACAAAAGGAAAGGAAAGTCATTTAAGAATTATCCTTAGTGAAGCAATAAAAATTATTACTTTTATTAAATGTTAATCCTTTAGTTTGTGTGACACAGTGGGAGATATGGATAAAGTACTGTGTTTTATTTGAGCTGAACTATTTGTTTGTTTGTTTGTTTTTACAGAAATAATTTTTACTTGAAAATGTGACTGGGGCAGGCATTTGGTATAGCAGTTAACTCACCAACTGAAATGTGCACATCCCTTATCATTGCCTGGTTTTGATTCCCAGCTCTGCTTCCAATTCCAGCTTCCTGCTAATGTACACCTGGGAGGCAGCTTTGATGATTGAAGTGCTTAGATCCCTGCCACCCATTTGGGAGACCCAGATTGAGTTCCAGGCTCCAGACTTTGGTCTGGCTCAATCCCAGCTGTTGTGGGTCTTTGTGGAATGAACCAGAGGATAGAATATCTCCTATCTGTATGTCTACCTTCCAAATAAAGAAAGTAAAAGTAATTTTAAAAATATATGATAGGCAAATTTGGTATTAGGCAGACATTTTCTCCAAAATGAACAAAGTTAATCTGTTGCTTCTGATTAAAAGAATTGATTATATTTGTCACCAATGATAAAATTTGAGTTTTCAAGCAAAAATTTGTATCCTCTGACATAAATAGACAGCTGAAATGTTTTTCTGATGACATCAGTGGTGGTATTAGCAATATAAGTTTTCGATGTCATGTAATGAAGTTTGTTAATTTCAGAAGAAATACATAAATCTATGAATGAAGATTTTCCAAATGACTGATTGGTGATATAAAATTACACATGAGTAGAAGATCCACTTGAAAAACTATTGATTTTAATATACCAACATACAGGGGCCGGCTCTGTGGTGCAGTGGATTAAAGCCCTGGCCTGAGGCGCTAGCATCCCATATGGACGCTGGTTCTAGTCCCGGCTGCTCCTCTTCCACTCCAGGTCTCTGCTATGGCCTGGGATAGCAGTGGAGGATGGGCCAAGTGCTTGGGCCCCTGCACCTACTTGGGAGAGCTGGAAGAATCTCCTGGCTCTTGGCTTCAGATCGGCACAGCTCCGGCTATTGTGGCCATCTGGGGATTGAGCCAGTGGATATAAAATAAAGCTTTAATATATATATATATATATATTTATATATATATATATGCCAACATATAGAAAGCTCACTGATAGGATTTCAGATGCCAGATGTATCTAATTTGAAGAAACTTCTGCAAGGCCAGCACTAGGGCATAATGGGTAAAGCCACCGCCTGTGGTGTCAGCATCCCACATAGGCTCTAGTTCATGTTCTGGCTGCTCCAATTCTGTTCCAGCTCCCTCTGATGCGCCTGGGAAAGTAGCAAATGATGATCCAACTGCTTGGGTCCCTGTACCCACAAGACCCAGAAGAAGCTCCTGGCTCCTGGTTTTAGACCAGCCCAGCTTCTGCTGTTGTGACCATTTGGGGAGTGAACCAGTGGATGGAAGACCTCTTTCTCTCTCTCTCTCTCTCTCTCTCTCTCTCTCTCTCTCTGTAACTGTGCTGTTCAAGTAAATAAATCTTAAAAAAAAAAAAAGAAGAAAGGAAAAAAAGAAAATTCTGATGTTAATTTCAGTGTAGTATCAACCAAGAATAACCCCAATTATTTATTAAAATACTTCTACCTTTTCCAGTTGCATATCCATGAAGGGCAAAATTTTTTTTTTCACAAATTGCAACCAGCAGAGCATACCTGGTGTAATATAGAAGGAGATACGAAAATAAAGTTTTTTTCTGTTAAGGCAGACATTACAAAGATTTGCAAAACTATTAACAGTGCCACTCTTCTCATAAAACTTTCTTTAAAAATATTTTTCTTAAAAATGTAATATTTATATTAATATGTAGTGGGTTTGTTATCATTACTTGTAAATGAATGATAAATGCTTTAAATACTTAAGTTTTAATTTCCAGCATAGTAACTATTGGTAGCTAAAACCCACATCAACAAAAGTTTTTTGAGTAGAAATTTTTGAGAACGCTATAAAAATCTATAATGAGTAAATTTTCCCTGAACTGCATTAACTGGTTCCTTTTCCCTGTCTTGGATCGTTAAAGACTTAAGTGTAAATTACCTATGAGTCCAATTTGACAGTGGATCCTAGTTAGAGCTGATGCATAACTGATGAGCAGTGGCTTAAGCCTGAAAATTAATGGCTGGTATGTGGTCTACTATAATAACTATAGTATTTTCCCATTGATTATTCTAGCATACTCCATAAAGTATTCATTTCCTATGCTGTAAGTTGTAGTCACTACAGTTTGCAAATGAGAAAAGGAGGTCCAGAGACTTGTCCAGTAACAAAATCTACATTGAAGGTGCTCTTGCACCTCTTGTGCCATCTGTCATATATATTAATAACTATCATTGATTGTTTTACATTATCTCTGATCCTTCTAAGAACCTTACAGAGAAGTATTATCTTCATTATTATCTTCATTTTGATAATAAGGAAACTGGTCCTTAGTGCCAATCTACTTGTTCTCTTACTCATCATCTGCTTATTAAACAAATATTTATTAAGCCCTTGTCATGAGCTAGACAATTTCTAGGTACTGGGTTATATAGCTTATAAGTAGCAGAGCTACACTTGGGGCTCTGATTCTAAAACCAATTGTTGTTTCTTAGTGTAGAGATAACATTTGTCCTTTATTTTATTTATTGAAAGAGTAATGCTGATGTGAATGCATTGAATCATTTATTAAGGACCACAGATGCTCCGTAATCTCATGTTGCCAGTGATCATAAGGAAAAATAGGGAAAGGGCCATTGGAAGATGGTGTTTGTCAAGCCCTACTTTGGAAAAGCACTAGCAAGGATGCTTGCTTTTCATTGTCCTATTCATTTATTTACTAGAGCAAGAGACCTCTTCTCAGGCCCTAAAGAAAAACTTAACTGTTTATGCCTATAGGCTTGAGAGGAGGTAATTGCCATATCTTAATATAGCCTCATGAGTATTTTTCTTGTAGGTGTATCCCAAGCAAGTAACAAGGACTTAATGCATACAGTAAATGACATGTGTGCGCTATATGTTTGTGATTGACTTGGATATGAAATAAAATAATATTAAGGAAACTTGAACATTTTTAATATGTTCATAAAGTTATGTTCATTTGAAAGCAGGTGAAAGGGGGAAATATCAATTCAACAAAGAAGAAATAAATTTTTTTGAAATTACTGTTTGACAACAGAATTTTTAGTGGTAGTAAATTAACTTTTTAAGATTTATTTATTTATTTATTTATTTGAAAGAGTTACAGAGAGAGAGAGAGGTCTTTCACAACAGCCAAAGCTGAGCTGATCTGAAGCCAGGAGACAGGAGCTTCTTCTGGATCTCCCACATAGGTGCGGGGGTCCAAGGACTTGAGCCATCTTCTACTGCTTTCTCAGGCCATAACAGAGAGCTGGATTGGTAGTGGAGCAGCAGAGTCTTGAACCGGCAGCCGTATGATGATGCCAACACTGCAGATGGCAGTATTACCTGCTGTGCCACAATGCCAGCCCCAGGAAATAAATCTAAGTAAAGGCTGTGCACTGTACTGGCAGGGAGGGCAGGCTTTTTTTTCTTTGTTTTGAGAGGTAGCGTTACAGACAGTGAGAGACAGAGAGAAAGGTCTTCCTTCCATTGGTTCACTCCCCAAATGGCCACAACGGCTGGAGCTGCACCGATCCAAAGTCAGGAGCCAGGAGCTTCTTCTGAATTTCCCACATGGGTGCAGGGACGCAAGGACTTGGGCCATCTTCTACTGCTTTCCCAGGCCATAGGAGAGAGCTGGATCAGAAGAGGAGCAGCCAGGAGTGGAACCAGTGCTCATATGGGATGCTGGCGCCACAGGCGGAGGATAACCTACTGCACCACAGCACCAGGAGGGCAGGCTTTTGAGTCAGACTCATCTGGTTTAATTCTGGCCCCATCACTTAAGCAGCTTTACCTTGGTTAGGTATACTACTTGAGCTTTCTAAGGCTCATTTTCCATCTCCTTAAAATCCAAATTATAGAACCCTCTTTGTAGAATTTTTGTACAGGTTAAATAATATAGAGTATATGTATGTATGTAGCCTGATCAATGACATATAAAACATCTGTTAGTTGTTGTTACTTATTAACTAGATTTCTTTTAGAAAGAGCTAGATGGATAAATCTTTTTTATTTTTATTTATTTGAAAGTCCATTATGAAGAGAAGAAGGGGGGATAGAGAAATTGATCTTGCATCTGCTGGTTTACTACCCTGATGGCCATAGTGTCCAGGGCTGGGCCAGGCCAAAGCCGGGAGCCAGAAGCTTCATCTAGGTCTCCTACATGGGTGACAAGGGCCTAAGGACTTGGGCCATCTTCCACTACTTTTTTCAGGCCACTAGTAGGGAGCAAGATAGGAAGTGAAACAGCCTGAACTCGAATTGGCACCCATATGGGATGCCAGTATCACAGGCAGCTGTTTTACCTGCTACACCACAGCACTGGCCCCTGATACCTTTTCATAATTTTAAAGAACTTTTAAACCTCATGACTTAGACATTCATCTTTCTAGTTTGAAGAATCCTTCAAATCTAACTCTTTAACTGCTGGTATACTACTTTACTTTTTCATTGAACATAAAAATAATTTACATGAAAACATGAAAGTATTTTAACTAGACATTAACATACTAGTCCATAATTTTTAGACTATAGTTAGTCCTTTCAGATTACTTCTAGAATGACTCTACTTTTAAATAACTTAATCAGTTGAATTTGCATATAAAAACTTTGTCTAAAATAAGGTTTGGCCATCTTTATGTATTGTTAGGTAACACAACAGTGGATGAGTTAATGATGAGACTCATGGCTGCAATGGAGATCTTCACAGCCCAGCAACAGGAAGACATAAAGGATGAGGTAAGGACAAGGCTAAGCAGACCTTTCACAGGATTTTGATGAGTTAATTTGTCACGTGATATAGCATCTGAGGTTATACAGTTGGGTTTACCATTCTGTCTATTCTTTTCATCACCCCAAGGCTCAATAATTTGTTTAAATTTACAGGCTTTTTACACTTTTCTAGATTTGGGGTAGTGACAGGAGATCAGTTTCAGAGAAAGGAGTTCACAGGCATGTTTACAGAAGATACTACTTTCCAGGAAATGATGGCTACTATATAGGGTTGTTTTTGTTTTTTTTTTTTTTTTTTTTTTTTTTTTTTGACAAGCAGAGTGGACAGTGAGAAAGAAAGAGAGACAGAGAGAAAGGTCTTCCTTTTCCATTGGTTCACCCCTCAATGGCTGCTGTAGCCGGTGCGCTGCGGCCGGCACACTGCACTGATCTGAAGCCAGGAGCCAGGTGCTTCTCCTGGTCTCCCATGCGGGTGCAGGGCCCAAGCACTTGGGCCATCCTCCACTGCACTCCCAGGCCACAGCATAGAGTTGGACTGGAAGAGGAGCAACCGGGACAGAATCCGGCGCCCCGACCGGGACTATGACCCAGGGTGCCAGTGCCGCAGGCGGAGGATTAGCCTAGTGAGCCATGGCGCCGGCCTACTATATAGATTTTATCACTCAGATTGCCTGACACTTTTTAACTATTGAGATTGATTAACAATGAACACATTTTATATTTGGATATATATATATATATTTAATGAGCATAAATTTCCAAAGTACAGCTTATGGATTGCAGTAGCTTCCTCCCCCCATAACTTCCCTCCCACCCACAACGCTCCCCTCTCCCACTCCCTCTCCCCTTCCCTTCACATCAAGATTAATTTTCAATTATCTTTATATACAGAAGATCAATTTAGTGTATATTAAGATTTCCACATTTTGCTCCCACACAGAAACACAAAGTGTAAAATACTATTTGAGTGCTAGTTATAGCATTAATTAAACACCTAAGAGTAATTGTGTATTAATTACAGAGTTCATCCAATATAAAAATATATATATATGTATATATATATATATAATGCAACTTCTGTATTGTTGTGGCTTCCCCCCCCAACCTCCCTCCCTCCCGTGGCCCTCCCCTCTCCCACTCCCTCTCCCATCCCGCCCTTCATCACGTTTCATTTTCAATTACCTTCATATACTGAAGATCAACTTAGTATATACTAAGCAGGGATTTCAACAGGCTGCACTCACACAACCGAACCAGGTATAGGTTCGACTAGTAGTGTTGTTTTTGAGTTTCATTGTTAAACACATTAAAGACAGAGATCCTACGTGGAGAGCATGAACCCAGTGACTCCCGTTGTTGATTTAACAATTGGCACTCTTATTTATGATGTCAGCAATCACCCGAGACTCTTGCTATGAGCTGTATAGGCTATGGAAGACCCTTGAGTTCACCGACTGAACTTGTTTAGTCAAGGCCGTATCACAGTGGAGGTTCCTTCCTCCCTTCAGAGAAAGGCGCCTCTCTCCTTGATGGCCTGTTCCTTCTGCTGGGGTCTTGTTCACCAGGATCTTTCATTTAGATTGTTTTTTGCTACCGTGTCATGGCTTTCCATACCTGTGAGACTCTCATGGACCTTTTAGTCGGATCCGAATGTCCCAAGGGTTGATTCTGAGGCAGGAGTGCTGTTCTGGGCGTTTGCCATTCTATGAGTCTGCTGTGTGTCCTGCTTCCCCCTGCAGGATCATTCTCTCCCTTTTGATTCTGTCCTTCATTATTTGCTTACACTGGTCTTATTTGTGTAATCTCTTCGACACTTACCCTATCTTTTGGATCGGTTGTGTATTTATACTTATCACTTTACCAAGTATGCTGGCATTGGTACCTGCCTCCTTGGTAAGGTTGAGTTGAAATCCCCTGGCACATTTCTAGTATTTTTAAGTATTGTGAGAATCAGTAAAAAGTCTCTAGAATTCTGAATTTTTTATTGTTCCATACTCAGATGTTATAGATAACATGAGCATAGAACTTTAAATAAAATAACTGCAGTACACTGATAATGATAATAGTATTCAACACTTACTAAGTAGCTATAATGTGCTAAGCACTGTGCTGAAAATTTAACATATATCATCATGTCTTCCTTTCTTATCACGGTCTATTCCAGTACCTCCTGTTTACCTAACCCAGTCAGTGGCTGAAAGGTGTGACGACCTCCTTAAGAAAAAGCTATGTAGAGCGTGGATCCTGAGAGACACATGAGAGAGAAACTAACATAGATTGTACTGTTATCTCCATGTTTCAGACTAGAAAACTGAGATTCAAAGTAGGGAAAACTGGCCAAAATCATATAGCCAGTAGGGGCTCTAATATTTTCAAGTAACCATTAAATACTCAAGAGAAATTTCTGGAATTGAATGAAACAAATACTAGCATTTCTCATTTGAGATGCTAAATTCACAGATATTTGTAAAATTATCCTTTTAATTTTTCTGCTTTTACTTTAAAAAAAAAAAGATTTACATAGAGCAAATAAGGGTGAGTGTGATTTCTGTGTAATGATAAAATATGAGTGTTGTTAATAGAAGTACCATGTAGTTACTGCAAATGTGAAACATGTAGACAATTTTAACGTAACCTTGTACTATTATATTTTACTTACTGCTGTCTTCCAACAGCCTGTGAGTTTGTTAAGAGCAAGATTCATAACAAATTTGTGTTTGTAAATCTATCTCTTAACAGTCCTAGGCATCTTAACAGTATGCCTAGGACAAAGTTAGCACTCAAATATTTGTTAAATATTGAATAAATTAATTTTACATGAAATAAGACACTAAAGAAACTCTTTTCTCACAGTGGTATAATCCCTGATTATAATAACAAATATGAAAATTTTGTGTGCTATTTATGGTTTGGTTTTAATATTCATTAGGTTTATTTATTGCTGTAAAATTTTTGAGTTTTCTTGATAGTGTTTCATTTACTTTGAAAGAAAGGCAATCAAGTATATGATGGAAAGATGTTTATCTGTTACTCTAAAAATTGACAGTGACATTTTGAAATAATGAAGTACTGTACTTAGTTAGGAATTTGTAATAATAGGTGTGTTGCCATTCAAGATTACATTTATCCTAGAACAGAGGCATTGATTGACAATAATTCACTAAATACATTCTTCAGCCATTTAAATCTTGAGTCTCATTAGTATCAGATTTACAGATTATGCTGTATAATAATATGAATGCACAATATTTGCATGCATATTCCCAGTACATTCTCTCATCTTAATTTGTGTTCCCCATAATTCATTGCTAAAGAAATTGACTTTAATTCCTTTAATACTGAGCACAAAATTTAGTATGAGGGTTACAGAAAAATCCAAGGCTCCATATAATTGAATTTTTATTGAAATTTAACTGTAAGAGGTAAAGATTTCTCTTTGTTTTTAGAGTGTCATGAAAGTTACCAGGTTTCATAACTGGTGCTCCTGTGCAAAAGCTTTTCTAAGTTTAAAGACTTCTTTAGACTTTGCTTAGATCATAATGATTTGTTATATGCTGAATATGTGGCAAGAAACGTTGGCCTTTTAATTGTGCATTGCAAGGATTTTTTTAAATTACAAATAAAACATGATCTTAATCCTGCAATTAAAATGAAATTAGTGAACAGGTTTGGGTGATGGCTTCCTAGGGCTGAATTTATTTAAACTTAACATTGGTATATTCCGCCTGTCACTTCAGTGATTCCATTGTATTATTGGGGCCAATGTTGTGGTACAACAGGTTAAGCCACAGTTTGTGACACTGACATCCCCTGTTGGAGTGCTGGTTTGAATCATGGCTGCTCTACTTCCCATCCAGCTCCCTGATAATACTCCTGGGAAAGCAGCACTAGATGGCCCAAATCCTTGACCCTCTGCCACCCATGTGGGAGACCCAGATGGAGTTCACCTTGGCCCAGCCCTACTAGTTGCAGCCATTTGGAGAACAGATGAAAGATCTCTTTCTCTGTCATTCTTTCTCAATCACTCTGCCCTTCAAGTAAATAAAATAAGTCTTTTTTAAAAAATAAAAAAGCATTGAATTTTTCACTTTAAATGGATTAATTGTATGCTATGTGATTTACATAATATTAAAAAAAAAGATTTATTTTATTTATTTGAAAGAGTTACAGAGAAAGGTACAGACAGAGAGAGAGGTCTTCCATCCGCTGTTTCACACAACGGCCAGGGTTGTGCCCATCCAAAGCCAGGAGCCAGGGTCTCCCACGCAGGTGCAGGGGCCCAAGGACTTGGGCCATCCTCCACTGCTTTCCCAGGCCATAGCAGAGAGATTGAGCAGAAGAGGATCAGCTGGGATTAGAACTGGCACCCATATGGGATGCTGGTGCTTCAGGCCAGGGCTTTAACCCACTGCGCCACAGCGCCGGCCCCCATAAATCTTTTTTTTAAACTTAGTTCAGTAAGGTTGCTGAAGGAAGATCATGGCTACTCAAATAAAAAATGATCGCACTTGAATGTCAGTCTACATTCAGCTTTAATAAAATGAATAGTAGTTAATAGTGTGCCCTTCAAATCTTGATATAACATTGAAGAAAATAGTAAAAATAGCTAATACCTTTGGCAGGTTTAGTGGAAATTATTCAAATAGACTTTAAAATAATAGAAAGGGAGTCTGTTTCCTCAAGTGTACTGATTATTGAAGGCAGTGGTTTCTAAGTATGACCTGGATTCTGTAAGAAATACAGGTTCTTGGGCTTTACTCCAAATTTCTTGAATCAGAATTACAAGGGTGGGACCCAGAATCTTTGTTTTAACAATTCTTCCAAGGAACTCTGATGCACATTGAAGTTTGAGATCCTCTAATTTGAGAGAAAAGTGTGAGCATAAGCTTCTGTAATGAAGCATGAAGTATAAAACATTTCATGGCACAAATCCTATATGGTAAAAATCCACAGAACTCATCCAAATTTATATCTTAGCAATATAGAGTTTGTGTTTCTGAGATCTA